TTTCAACGTTATAATAATAACATTACAGTTAAAATAAATTTTTGATTTTTCAAAACTTTATCCATCATCGAAAAGTACGTAAATACACTACTCCTCGTGAACATTAATCTACTTTGAAGAGAAAATATGAAATCTATCATACAAATATTTTAGTCACCTCAACTCGAAATCGATACAACGATTTAACGCCATATCCCAACGTTCAGTAAGTAATTACTCGTAGTTTTGTTTTATTTATTCGAAACTATATCTACCATTTAGTTTTCATTAATTATCAATCTTATTTTTTTTACTGTCATATGTTGAAAATAACATACGTTGTACATAATTTTGTATTATGCACATACTAACGAATGACTGTCGTATGTCCCATATTTGTACTGCATAGAACTACTACTCCATATTATTACTCGTATATGATGATATTATTGGATATTGCTATGTACGAGGGGAGATGACATGCCGCGTACATAACGTACGCATGCAGAACAATTGTGATATGAATCGTTCATAATTGATTAATTATAGTTTAAAATTGATGGCAATGACTTTTGGGCGGTCCGCTTATATATTTTTACGATAACATTGCACACTCACCATCGTATTTACATTATCATGGTGCGTGTGTAACTTTTAAGGTACGTTTTCCAAGGCGCGACATTTCGCAGCGACGCATTTTTTCTGATGTGTTTTACTTGACGCGACATGACGCTGCGATTTTGGTAGTTATATTCTCAATTCGCTAGCAAACCTGTCCAAGCATGGGTGTAGGCAAGAAATATTTTCGAAGGGAGTTTTGGTCTAGATTTATATTAGTACTATAGATCATTAAAATTAAATATGAATTATTTATTTAGTACAATTGAATACTAATCCAATATTTTGTCCATATAAATTACAAATTTAAAAACATAAAAAAAATATAAGATAAAACCTTGTTTTCTTAGTTAAAGTTTAAAAATATTGATTACTTCTTCCGGGTTAATATTAATTTCACGATGAACGCTTAGCAAAACAAGTCCAGTTAATCGTTTATTTCCTGTCGAATTTCTCAAATATGATTTAATACGTCGTAATGTTGAAAAAATTCTTTCTGTAGTAGTAGATACGGGAAGTGTAGAAAGAATAGTTAACAATTGTTTTATATTTGGAAAAAATTCAGAATCACATTTTAAAAATGCTTCAAATACTGAGGATGGTCTACAATCTTTTTCTTTTACTCATTTGGATTTCCACAATAAATATTCCAAATTACCATAAACCAGGGGCGGATCCAGAGTCGAGAAACTGTGGGTCAAGCCATTTTAAGAGGCCATTTATTAGAGATGAAATTGAATTAGAAATTAATACCTTGTAAAAAAAAAAAAAAACACAATATGCTCATAAAAGTGTATAAATATATTTATATTACAATTTAGAATTAGTAATACCACCAATAATGACTTATTTACGATGAATAAATATAATCTAATTTTATCAGCGCAATAAACGTACGGAATAAAATATGGTTTACTTAACTTTCTACTGAAACGATATAATTTAAAATATAAATTATGAATTGAAAAATTTTAAATTTTGAATATACATGGAGTTCATTTTTCAAGTAACACCGATGGGCCAACTGTCCAAGAGTTCAAATCAAGATCTAAAAAGAGAAAAAAATTTCCAACAGGCCAATTTTGTCAACAAATATTATTAACTGTGGGTCAGCTGATCCCCTGAATCCCCCCTCTAGATCCGCCCCTGTCATAAACTGTTGATGATCCTGAATTATTGTCTTGTAAAAATCCCATAAATTAATAACATATTACTCATTTATAAAAACCACTTTATTCGGCATAATATTTTGAAAAAATTAAATTAAATCATAACGCTGTTTAAACTTACTTTTTAAATTTGTTATAGAATGATCAAAAAATGGCGTAGAATCTTAATAATTGTCTCGATTAATTTGTTTTTTTTTTTTTGAAAATCTTAGTACACTCATTGTATCATAAACATCAGTTAAAGTTTTAAGCCGTAATAAATATTAGGTTAATTTCCATCTCAGCATTTTGGCGAAGAAAACTGAAAGAATCAATGACAAATCGAACTATTTTGGGGGGGTGTTTGAACACCCAAAACTCCCCCTTTACCTACGCCCATGTGTCCAAGTACAGATGTGTTCTGGTGTAACGGGTAGTTAATACAAATAATTTTAGTCAATACAGTTTTGTTTAAATTATTATGGATCCATTTATTGTAATATGCATTAATAATAATGATATTTTGACATTTTTATTGGATGAAGAAGATAAAGAAGATTTTATATTTTTCCATCTAAAGCAAGGGCACCCATAGGAAAATTTCAAGGGGGACAACATTTTAATTTATCAATCTATTCATAAATAGGAATGACCCACGGTATAGAAAGGGCCTTACAATTTTACATTATACTATTACATTATATATATATCAAACTGGAAAACTAAAATAATAATTATTTAACCAATTTACCATAAAAGTAATTTATTGAAATTTTTATTTATAATATAAATTGGACACTTAAACATTAGTCATATTTATTAAAATATTAATTTACAAATAAATAAATATTATGGTGGTGTACACACACACATATACATACCGTATTTTTGGGAATACACAATATTTTAAGAATTGATAATTATCCATAGAATAAAAACGAAAAAGCGTATTGTTATTTACAGTGGCGTAGATATAATTTTTTTTTTTGGGAGGGGTGTTTAAGAGTAAGTTTTATGTGTTCTTAGTATATTTTAAAATGTGGTCATATGTATTTAAATTATTACTAATATTACATTTAAAATGTTATTATTATTGTGTCCTGTATTTAATGAAAATTATTTTGTTACTCAATTTTTAATATATATCTAATCTTAGTAAAATCAAAATATTTTACTATAATATGTAAATATTAATAAATAATAATCAAATATCATTAAAAAAAAAATCTGTGGGGGGTGGAAACCCCTTACACCCTCTCCGTAACTACGCCACTGGTTATTTATAGTTGATAACCTGATTTTCCAAACTAAATAAATAGATTTTTCATAAACAAATTATAGATTTTTATATATTAAATTAAATTTTTAAATTCTATTTAAATAAATATATTCTTATACAATTCAACAATTTTCCAAGATTTTTGACATTTTCCAAGGGGGGGGACATGTCCCTACGACGCCTCTCCATATGGGCACCCTTGATCTAAAGTAAAAAAAAAAAAAAAAA